AATCAATTATAAACATGAATCTGCTTCCTCAAATAAACCAACATCTTGCATGAAGCCGCACCAGAGTGTAAACTGCCCAAGAAAGAGCTGGATCCTTCACGTCTCCATCGTGCAGCCTGGGGGTGAGGGGGACACTCAAAATCACGCTGCTCCTGTGTGTACTCTTGACGAAAATCTATCTGTGTCCACAAGTACTTAGGCCTGTTGAGAAAAAAAGACAAGAGACCTCAGTTGGCACCTGTAGCCCATACATCTTCCATCTGTGTTGCCAATGTCTGATTGTCCTCTCCTTCTAGAAATCCCAAGGCTTCTACCTGTCCCGACCCTCAACAGTTACCACACATCATGTGTTGCATTCTGGTCAATGGGCTGTCTGTTAAGAGATGTGACATAGCTTCTAGACGGAGTTAGTAAAGAGCTGGGAGAACTCAGGGTGTCATGATGAGTATGATGGACCCTTGATTCCTCCCAATGAGGGGATTGGATTTCGGGGTCACTACAGTACAGGTTTTGGGAGGACCCAAATAGGAGAGCAGTCTTGGAGAGTTGCCTGAACTCCATGACTAAGAGTTTGCTGTGTTCTTTTTGATCCTGGTAGTTAGGTTCAATGAAGGACCTGAAGTATTCAGCTCTAGATTTTAGATTCAACACAGAAACACCTGGTTGTCCAAGGTCCAACCAAGGATACTTTGCCTGGTCCATGAAAAACAGAAAGCTGGGTAAATGTCAGCATGTGTCATGGATGATGGTTGTTACATTAGAGGGTGAACAGCTTGTGTTGCTTCTGCCCCTGGACATCTGCATTTTACATTCTATCCTGTAATTAGGGGTATAGGGAAGTAGGGGAAAGAAGGCATAGGAAGAGAAATCTTCTGTGGATTAAAGGGGCTTAAGGTATCATCGGTCTTCACATATCATATATTTAGGTATTTTGGTACCAGAGACAGATGTGGCACATCTGGAATTTGATCAGTGGTTTGCACATGCTTCGGTGTTTGTGCTGGGGACTGAACTGAGGAACTAGCCCATCAGAGTAAAACGTTAAACAACTGAGTTGCCTGATGGAATCAAATGAATAGTTGCTTTGAATTCAAACTTCATTCCTTGGCAAGATGTAAAAATCAACACATCTTTCTTTCCTCCCTTTCCCAGTCTTTTTAGCTAGCTGGGGTGAAGGGATCATTGCTGAGGTCACCCATATGTTGCCGAGAGAGATAAAGTGATACATTTAAGGTCACACAACTAGCAAGTGACAGAGCCGGGATCCCACCTATGTCTGTTCCCTGCGTATGCTGCTTTCTAGTGTCCTATGCTGGAAGACTCTACTCATCTTCAGAAGGGACCTAGCAAACAATCCAACACATGCCAATGTGCCTGAGGGCTGGAGCTGCTGATCTGAGTGTAAGACCTCAGGAGCTACTTCTCACCCACTTCTTGATCCCCACCCCATCTTCATCCCTAACCCAGAATCCACCAGGACAAGAAGTTCCTCCTGCGATCTGTGCCTGACTGCCAAGATGCCAGAAGGGAGGCCCCCGTGCCCAGCACACTGGAATAGTTAGAAGCACAAGGTCGTGTCAGCCACTGGTCTGGTGTTCTGTCCACCCTGGGTGCTGCCTTACCCTAAAAGCCACCTCATCTCATTTCCTTGGTTTCTCACACAAACAATACCATCTTGCATATGTGACATGCTATGGAGAAGGCTGGGGAAGGCTGTCCTGAAATAGTCCACATGCTGAGAGAAGGCAGGTAGAAAAAAAGAGGCTGTGATCTGAGGAGAAAAGAGATAGAATCTACGCTTAACGGAGCTAAAGTTTTGTGAATTGCATAGAACAAATGGCAGATGCTTGTGTGCTGTAAGTGAATGAAGAGACCTCATTTCCAATTTTCCTGCAGCATCTATTAAATTAACAGTGCCTTGGATTGCCTCCATTCTCACACTTACAGGCCTCCGATGTTCTGTTTTAATGGCTGCATCCGGTTCACCCTGTGTGTGTGCTGCAGTTGGCATATCTGGGCCCTTATGGATGCCGCAAGCCTTTTCTTTTGCTCTGGTAAATAAATTTTCAGCAAGCATCCCCACATGATTCCCTTTCTTTTCTTCTTGAGCACATTCCTGCTTATAGCTGGAGGATACATTCCTAGAATTGCTAGGTCAGGGTGTATTCTCTTAAAATTTTCATAATTTGCTAAATTTAGAGCCTTAAAATGTACACAGCCAACTTTACTAATCTTTTCCCATTATGGTTTGTAGTGGTGCTGTGCTCACATAAACCTCTACCAACCCTCTACCAACCAGCCAATCAACAAAGAACAGTGCAAAAAATACTTCCCTTTTAGGCTTCTATAGTTTTTTTTTTAAATCATCACTCCATCTGGCATTCATCTTAATACAAGGACTAAAAGGGATCAAGTTTTTTTTTTTTTTTTTTTCCAAGTGGCTTCATTGTTTATTGAACACTCCTTTTTTTTTTTTCCTTGCTTATTTGAAACATACAGACTCATGAATGAAACCCTTACATGTACTGGGTCTTGTGTGTGTGTGTCTGTGTGTATATATAAATTTTATGCTCTAATCTGATACAAGGTTTTTAAATTTTTTATTTTATTTTTATTAATTACAGTTTATTCACTTTGTATAGCAGCTGTAGCCCCCTCCCTCATCCCCTTCTCAATCCCACTTTCCCTCCCTCTTCTTCTCCTATGCCCTTCCCCCAGTCCATTGATAGGGGAGGGCTTCCTCCCCTTCCATCTGACCCTAGTCTACCAGGTCTCATCAGGAATGCCTGCATTGTCTTCCTCTGTGGACTGGTAAGGCTGCTCCCCCCTCAGGTGGAGGTGACCAAAGAACCAGCCCATGAGTTCATGTCAGAGACAGTCCCTGTTCCTATTATTGGGGAATCCTCTTGGACACTGATCTGCCATGGGCTACTTTTGTGCAGGGGTTCTAGGTTATCTCCATGCATGGTCCTTGGTTGGAGTATCAGTCTCAAAAAAGACTCCTGTGCCTAGATATTTTGGTTCTGTTGTTCTCTTTGTGGAGCTCCTGCCCCTCCAGGTCTTTCTATTTCCCCCTTCTTTCATAAGATTCCCTGCATGCTGCCCAAAGTTTGGCTATGAGCTTCAGCATATGTTTTGGTACCCTGCTGGGTTGAGTCTTTCAGAGGCCCTCTGTGGTAGGCTCCTGTCCTGTTCCCTGTTTTCTCCCTCTTCCAATGTCTGTCTCGTTTGCCTTTCTGAATGAAGATTGAGCATCCTACCCAGGGTCCTCCTTCTTGCTTAGCTTCCTTAGGTGTACAGATTTTTATATGATTATCTTATATTATATGTCTAATATTCACTTATAAGTGAGAAACATCGAATGACAGAGAAACACTTAAAGAAATAATCAACATCTTTAGTCATCAGGGAAATGCAAATCAAAATGACCCGGAGACTCATCAGAATAGCTGGAGAGGATGTGGGGAAAGAGGAACCCTACTCCAATGTTGGTAGGAATGTAAACTTGTACAATCACTTTGGAAATCAATCTGGCGCTTTCTCAGACAATTAGGAATAGTGCTACCTCAAGATCCAGCTATACAATTCCCTAGGCATATATCCAAAAGACGCTCAAGTAAAAAAACATGGACATTTGCTCAACTATGTTTGCAGCAGCTTTATTTGTAATAGCCAGAAGCTGGAAACAACCCAGATGTCCCTCAGTTGAGGAATGGATACAGAAATTATGGTACTTTTACACAATGGAATACTACTCAACAATTAAAAATGAGGAAATCATGAAATTTGCATGCAAATAGTGGGATCTAGAAAGATCATTCTGAGTGAGGTATCCCAGAAGGAGAAAGACACACATGGTATATACTGATACAAGTTTAAATGACAATAGTCTGATAAAATCTTCAAATGTATGATGGGTGAATAACCCTCAGTTTTCCACAAGTAAAGTTAATATTTTTTGTAAGTAAACTTCAGGGTGATTTTGTTGAATAAAAATGGCACAAGCATTTTGGTAGGAATGACACTAAATGTAAAATCTTTTTAGGAAGGGTCAACTTTATTATTTAATTTTTCCCACTAAATAAGAAGGTGTTTCTATTTATTAAGCATTTTTGTTTATTTCTTTAGAAACACATAATGAGTTTTCCTCATCTTTGTCTTTTACATTAATTTTAAAGTTTGAGAAGGAGAAACAAAAATGATTTGGATTCTAATACTTAATAGAATATTTTCATTTTTATTATCTTTTTTAGCTGGTTATTATTTGAGCGCAAGCAAACTGCTTTTAATGTTATCACTGAAACTATTTCTCTTACTAATGTCTCCTAGTATTACTACCACCTTTCAGTTGATTTACTTGAGTCTTTCGCATATACAATCATGGAACCAAAAAGCAATACTATCTCATCTTTTACAAAAAAAAGTATCTAGTGTTTTGACATTAAGCAGAATGTTGGATTTTGAAGTGTGTGTTTATGCGTACACCTATACATCAGAATTCACATACATACACACATTTGCATATGTACATGCTAACGTGTTTGCACATTAATCAAGTTAAAGGCATTTCCATCAGTTTTTATCCTATGAGTAATCGCTATTGCAATTCATATTGCGTTTTATCCAATGCTTTCTTTACATCCATCAAGATGATCATATTTCTTTTTGTCGTTCATCTCACTAATTGCAGTGAATTGTATGAGGAGATTTTTTTTTATTCTTTATTCCTATCATTCCTGAAATAATTCTTATCATGCCTTGGTCATTAAGAGTTATTTTATTCTACTGACTCTTGTTTAATTTAGGACTTATCAATCATTCATAGAATGATTCATTTATATATTTTTGGGCTGCATTTAGTAGATGTTAATGGATGTTTTTCCTAGGACTTATGAAAATGATTTTGGAAGCATAGCCCATTGGGAAATAAAAGTTCACACTGAGGTGAAGAAAATAGGTATATTTTGGGTTAGAAGTAACATGTTTGGAAAACAGGAGCCTGTCCCCTGGCAATGGGCAAAGGGACACCTTGCTGGTGGTGGTGGTCTTCTATCAGTCAGGGGCAGAGCAGATGGCAGTCCTCTGTTCATCCTGGCTTGATGCCTTGCTTGGTGACCAAAGCTGTTTTTTTGCCTAGAACACATAAAAATTAAATCAAATCAAATCAAGGCAGCATAGCGAGGAAGGAGGAGAGATAGAGACCTGAGTTCCACCATGCCACGCAGTGCCGACAGGGAAAAGGCCCACAGGGTCTCACCTCCAGTTCACGGCACGGGCACAGATGCAAAGAGCTCTGCCTACCACAGCATGTACAAAGGAGGACAGACAGACAGGCCTGCAGACCTGCCGTGCCCTCCACCGCACAGCACAGGAAGGCCATAGACGCGCCTGAGGATGTTACCCAGGGCCCCGCCAGCCAGGTGGCCAGCCTGGAGCAGGAGCCACCACAGTGTGCAAGTATGTGGTGGACAGGGGTGAGAGACGGAGAAGCGGAGCAGCTTGAGCGTCGTGAAGAGAGGTGGAACTGGAGGGTGGAGAGGAGCAGCCAGTGGTCAGCCCAGCTACGTGGGGCCATGGAGAAGCCCCAACCTGAGCTGTTGCTGAGGGGTTGGCGTTGACGTCCGTGGCTCATCTTACCGTTACAGACTATGGTCAGGGACCACATGGGTGTCTGGGGGCTGTGCAGAACTGGCTCCACTCCTCACAGAGCTAGCCCCACCGCTCTCTGGAGGAAAGCGGGCTCACGACCTCTCCCAGGCAGCACAGTGGATCTAGCCCTGGTGACAGGGGCAGGTGGTGTGAAGGTGGGAGGAGTTGACCCCGCGGGCCGTCGGGTGGCATGGGCACAGGGGTGATCCCTCCCGTCCCCGTCAACCACTACCTCCAGCAGTCGGGAGAGCTGACCCCAGGGTCATGATAGAGGGAGAGCTGTCCGTGTCCCTCACCAGTTGCAGCACTTGGGGAGGAGCTACACCCCACCTGGGTAGCACAGTAGGGCTGGCCCTCCTCGAAGGGAGAGCTGGTGAGCCAGCCCCAAGGGTGAGAGCGGGAAAGAGCTGGCCCTGTCACTCATTTGACAAGAGATGGCATGGGTGTGTGGGGGGTGATGCCTTCCCCTTGTCGCCCCTCACCCCCTAGTTGGTAGAGCTGGCCTAAGGGCATGAGAGCAGGAGAATTATCCCTGCCCACTCATGGCCTGTAGCACTTGGAAGAGCAGGCCCTGCACCTTGCTTGGACAACACAGTGGAGTTGACTCTTATGGTGACAGCATGGGTGAGCAGGCCCAGCCCCTCATACTCTGCAGCACTTGGGAGAGTGGGCCCAGAGTGTTGACCAGGCAGCACAGTGGAGCTGGCCCTAGCCACGAGGGCATGAAAGCAGGAGAGCGGACCCTGCCTCCTGCCATTGGCCTGGCTGGAACAGTGCTGGAGAGTTCTCACTGCTGGAGTAGGTCAGGGAGAGCCAGTGGGCTGACCAGCACAGCTATCACCCAGGCCCGTATCCAGGGCTCTGAGTTGGCCTACTACAAAATCTATCTACAAATGGTTGCCCTGCTGACCAAAAGCTGCAGGATCTCCATTTGCATGTGAAGATGAGTGGACAGAAGGATGGACTGCAGGACACACCACAGCTTCCACGACGAGATGTTTCCTATGCTTTTTCTTGGTTTTGTTTGTTTGTTGTTTGTGTGTATGTGTGTAGTTTTGGGGGGAGGTTCTAAGTACAAAGGGCAGATATGAGGGGACAGGGAAATGAGTGGGACTGGGGTGCATGGAGGGAAACTCACAAAGAACCAATAAAAAGTTAAAAAAGAAAACGGGAACCTGATGTAGTGTGTGTGTGAATGAGGGAGAGAGGGAGAGAGAGAGAGAAAGAGAGAAAGAGAGAGAAAGAGAGACATGGAGAAAGAGAAAGAAAGACATGGGGTTGTATTTCTTGCTAAAGACTTGAGTGTTGAATCAACTGAGCTGAGGTCTCTCCACTTGAAGTTGAGGACACTCACGCTCTTCTGTCTTTCTATCAGTAAAACAAACTCAAGCCTGAATTTCCTCAGTTACTTATGAATTATAATAGGCTCCACCTGTGCTCAATATTAACAAATCTCAAGAAAATCCTTAAAGATTTGTCATTAAGCCCAATAAACTGTTATAAAAGTATTATGCAATGTCTTTTGTTACTTAAATAGTTTTGAAGGGATTGTAAAGTCTTTTCCACTATGACAGTTTACCATTAGGCACTGGCTAGAGTTATAATACCTTCTTGGTGTGAGGTTTGACTTGATGGTGAATACAGAATCAATGTTAGAAGCAACCCTCTCCACGTTGTCACTTGTGATGTCTCTTATTCCTCTTTCGACCTGGGCGAAGTGGCTGCTGAGTTTGTCACGGGCACATTTTCTCACTGTTGGTGTGTGCTTCTACCCACAGGAACTAGATCCCATCTGTGTCTCCGTTTTTACGGGCTGTTATGAACATGAACCACCGCTGGATGACATGTCCGATAACTGAAGACATCATTGCCTGCATGGTAGGACCCTCACGCTCTTCTGTTATGGACCTGGGAGGAACTTATCTGACAAGCCAACCTCTGACAAATATATCCAGTGGAGGTTTCAGTGTCAGTTCGTGAATTGAGAGGTATGGCATTTCTTTCTTTCTCTCTGCGTGTGCACACCCGTGAGCACCTGTTCACCTGAGTATGTTTGCAGATGTGTGTGGAGGCCAAAGGATAACTTTAAGCGTCACGGCCCAGGAGCCATCCACCAAGCCTGGAACTTACCCGCTCCACCTGGCTGGCTTGCTAGTGAGCCTCAGGGATCCTCCTCTTCCTGCCTCCCCAGTGCTAGGACTAAAAGTACATTTTGCCAGACCTTTTCGTGTGGGTTCTATGAATTAAACTCAGACCCTCATGCCTGCTTGGAAAGCACTTGAATACTGAAATAGCTCCCAAGACTGTTAAGAAGATTCGTTTCTTTATGAGTTAAATATAGATGATAAATAATTTGTATTGCATTTACCAACTAAGGTAATCCATGAAATGCTTCTAGGATTCCATTATTAGTAATACACTATCCTGACTTCCTCATTTGAGGACACTCAGGAGACCTAGTGAGCTATGCAGATGTCCAAGACAAAGCAGCCTAGAGGCTGGACTGGAAGGAAGCTGGGCCAGAGGTCCCATTACAGGACCATGAGCCCAATTATGCTGGATGAGCAGCCTGTGAAAATCTGCGTGCCATGGCACGCAGAAACTGCATCCTATTAGGGCCCTGGTTGTGGTGTGAAGTTCACCAAACTGTTGTCCAGTGTCTGTTAAAACTGTAGTTGCACCTGATCCCCTCTTCCTCTTGAAAACTTGAGTTTGTTGGCATCATGTATAAATATGATATGGTAAGAAAAATGGGTGTCTCATGATAATTGCTACTCCAGAAATTGTGTAGATTCATTTATTTTTTTAAACAATTATTAGCAGTGCAATAATCAGAGGACCCAAAATGGTAAAGATAGCTTGAGAAAGGAGGTTTATCTTGGTCACTTTTCTATTGCTATGGAAAGACACCATGACCAAGACAACTCTCATAAAAGAAAACCTCTAACTGGAGGCTTGCGTCCAGTTTCAGCCCTATCATCACCGTAGTGGGGAGCATGGCACCACAGAGGCAGGCACAGTGCAGAAGTGGTAGCTGAGGGCTCTACCTCTGATCCATAGGCAGAGAGAGCAAGAGACTGGCATAGCCTGGACTTTTGAAACCTCAAAGCCACACCTCCTAATCTTCCTAATCTTTCAAACAGTTCCACTCCCTGGTTACCAAGCATTCAAATATATGAGCCCATCGGGGCTATTCTTACTCAGAGTACCACAAGATATTACCTGATGGTCATCAGGCTGGACTTTTAGAACTAATTGCCCTACATTTGATGCCAGGATCTGCCACTACTTACCTATAAAGTCAGGGGAAGGTTATGTAGCCTCTCCAATCCCCTATAAGATGAAAGCAATAACGCTGTCAGATTTCAGTGAAACATCCACATAAAGCTCTTAGAATGAGCATCATTAGTCCATATCCACTAGTTTTCAGGCAGTGTTAAGGTGACCTAGAGACAGCATTGGCCAGAAAATCAGGTGGCTACCCTCTGGTGAGGACCAGAGAACTCTCATCTGTGGTGCCTGGGGTGAAAGGGTCAGGAAAGCTGATATCCTTTGCTCAGGGAATCACTGCTTCCTCTTAGTTTTGAAATGACTTTTCACACAGCCAGTTTTTATCTAGTTATTTGTTAACAGCTGAGTACCGTGCTTTCCAAACACAGAGCAGAGAAGAAATTTAGGGATGACTTGGGCTCTTTGCAAAACAACAAGTGAAACTATGTGCTTGTTTTTGCATGAATAAGAGCACACCAGCTGGGGAGCTTCAGGATGGATGAGTGGCGCCAGATGTTAGATATTAAGGGGAATGTGTGGGAAAACCTCTCAGAGTCAAGAGTATTCTACTTCTGAGCTGAGTTTCTTAAATATTAATGGTGAAACTGCCATCTCTAATTCTCACGGGTCTGGACACAAGGATCCTATAAGGGTAATGTTTGAAACATGCATTTGTGAGGCTCTTATAAGTTCTCCGTGACTGTGATTTACATTGCTTATGTTGTGTTCTGGCTGTGATAAAGTGTGCATGATAACAACGTGATGTTTTCACAGTTTTAAAGTGGTCCAGTGGGGACATGCCTCAAGTGCAGCAATGCTGTGCAAACCCACAGCTCCAGTTCCATAACATTCCCACCACCCTGAAAGGAAGCCCTAAGCCAACTGAGCCCTGTGCCCATTACCGTCACCCAGCAACCTTCTGTCTGCCTCTATGAATTGTCCTGTAGCAGTTCACACAGGTGGAATGGTATGTTCCTGATGTTTTTGTGTTTATGTGTGTGTTAGTTGATGTGTGGGCACGTGTATGTGTGTGTAGGGGCCAGGGATCAACCTTGGGTGGCATTCCCTCGGAGACGTCCACCTTGTGTTTTTGAGATGCGGTCTCTCAATGGTCTGGAGCTTGCTGTGTATTCCAGGCAGGCTGGCCAGAGAGCCCAGGGCCATGCCTGTCTCCGTGTCCCTGGTACTAGTAGTACAAAAGAATACCACTGCTTCTGTTTTTTTTTT